CTCGGTTAACTTATTTACAGTCTTTAAATGATTCTCAACTGTTACAAGAGCTTCAGACTGAGGCAGGTCTTGAGATTAACTCTTCTCAATTGGAGTTAGTCGGCCCGATTGAGCTACGTCACCGCCTTCATCAAGCCGCAGTATCAACCACACCAGGAAGACACGATCCAATATGTCGTGCATTTCACGTCGTATGGTTATATATACCACCTATCCTTCTTCTTTTTGGCACAGTCGGAAACTGTCTTGCCTGCTGGGTTCTTTTCCGAAGCAAGCTGGCGACAATCTCATCTTATGTATATCTTGCTGTGCTCTCCATAGTTGACGAGGGTGTTCTGCTCAGTGGTTTAATGAGAAGATGGATCGGCCGCCTTGTTGGTTTTAGTCTTGAAGAGCAGCATTGGTTTACTTGCAAATTGCTTCAATTTGCAGGTGTCTCTACGAGTTGTCTATCAGTTTGGCTGATCGTAGCCCTCACTGTTGAGCGGGCTCTTGTAATAACAATGCCCTTAAAAGCTGCTAGTCTGGCGCGTCCATCACGATCGCGTACAGTTATTCTTGTTTTGGTATTTGTATTCTGCAGCATCGCGGGCCATTTCTTTCTCACAGTCAGTCTGATATCGGTTCGGCTATCAGGTGAATCTGAAATTAATGATGCTTCCCAGAATCGGACTATATCAGACTCAACTAGCCCAATTACAATTTTGGATGTTGAGCCAGAGATGCAATATCTGTGCAAATTCTACAATCTCCGTGTCAACCAGGTATGGATTTGGGTAGACGCAACTCTCTACAGCTATCTCCCTACCATAATCATTGCTTTATTAAATGCCATTATCATTCATGGTATATATCGAGCTACAAAACGCCGAGCCAATATGGTAAGTGGCGGTCGGATTATCAGACCTCGCTATACTACGATCCATCAACACACACTTATCCAAAAGGAGCGCAAGCAGCAATGCGTTAGTACCAAAACATCTTCCTCGTGCTGCTTTAAGGTATTAAAACCTCACCCGATTACTTTAACTAACCTCAAAGATTGCCAAAAGGGTTTATACTCCAATAAAGAAATTGGATTGGCTTTGAAGTGCTCTGCCTATCTTGGAAGTCAAGGAGGCAAAGAGAATTTGCCACTATTTCAGCTACCTC